GCAGTTCATTATCAACATCAGCTTCAAAATCTGACATTCGAAATATTTGTCTTCATAGTTTGAATCGAGAATATCAGCTTCGAATAATAAACATGATACTGATTCATCTTCACTTTCGTCAATGATTAATTTGTATCGCCCATATAAACGTCGTCTTGAAGATTCCAGTACCATTTAATTGCGTAACACGGTTATGGTACTACGATATTCGTTCTCTTTCGGTAAAGGTAATACATTCTTACATTCATCACTTATGCAGGTGAAGAAAATATTTACTAAGAATTTGAACTGCGTATTAGTGATTCCGTTGAAATTATTCTCTATAGCCCGTAATAAATTAGTTGATGTGAACAGACTGAAAAAAGCGTTTGAACTATAGTCCAGGTTTCGTCAAACGTATCCGATTTTTTGGTTGTTGTATTCCAAGACAATCGAATGCAAGAGTTAGCTGATCATGTTGCTTTTTTTCCAAATAATGTCGAAGCTTCGTATTATCAATGACTTCCGCATTAAACAACGAAAGTTTACGTCGAACATAGACAGCCAGTTGTGAAGAAGGCAGTGATGAGTAGGAACATTTCAGATGTTCTAGTGCCACTGGTAATTCATTGATCAAATAATCTGATCGATGAATCGTCGCTGTGTGGTTAGCTGATGATTGTCTTATCGAACGAATTTATTGCAGCAGTGAAAAAAATATTTTTCGGCAATGGCTGTCCTTGCAAAGATCCATCGATCAGCATTTCTTTGAACAAACCCAGACAACACGATGTATTTCAGTTACTTTAAGTAAGTTTGTGTCCTCTAGTGATAGAATAAATCGTACAGACAGATGATATCTCTAACTTATATCTTCATTTGGTATGCAGTCTTCAAGCTAAGCCTCTGTGACGGCAATGAATGCAGGTTGAGTTTGAGATGCCCTCGCTCAAAGAAGAATGAACTTTGAAATAACATTTTAACCATAATTGACTATCACTTTCATATTTCAACAATGATGGTAGCTGATAGCTCGAAACTGTCAAAAGCTAAAAGCAAGGAATCGCTGGAAGTAATAATCCTGTGCTGTTGTAGATGTCGAATGATTGGCATTAGAGATATAGGTATGTCAGCAATTTCTATTGTTGTGTATAGAAGAACAACATATAGAAGAGTCCTAAGCGCTTTCTAAGCAATTTCTATTGTTGTGTATAGAAGAACAACATATAGAAGAGTCCTAAGCGCTTGTAATGCACTGTAACTCTAATCGAAAAGAGCAAGAAATACACATTACAGATTGTGTATAGCAGTTGAACGTTACACAAACTCATGGTGCTGATGAGATGATGAAAGACTTATATAGTAGGATATAATACAATACCGCGAAGAAAATCCAAATTTTTGATATTCACGTGATGCGTCTAAATTATAACGTGCTTGCAATAACCATTTTCGTGCAATGTATGAATGAAATGCATTCCATGCAAAACAGTTCGTCTGTCTTCAAACGATCAGCCATGGTTTACATAGGGTCCGCGTGTTATTTATCGGAGAAAAACCCGCTTATTCAGAAAGTTAAGAAGCAGCTCTTCTCTTTCTCTTTCAGAAAAATATAAGAACACTGAAATCCTGTTGCTGTACGATGTATAATGTCAATAACTTGAAGGATAGTAGAATTCTTTCTTGTAAAAATCCCTGTTTTAACGATATATCGAATTGATTGATTAATACAGTTATCATTACATTCTAAAACTTCATGTGAATTAATGAAATAGTTAGCACTTACTATTCATCAAAGTTAGCAGAACCAACCCAAGCGGTTGAACGCTCATCCTCAACCACACCCTCGTCCATTCTTTCACAAAATCGCTACACGCTTCCTTATATTTTTCTGGAAGCGAAAAAGAAGAACTGCTTCTTAACTGTCTGAATAAGCGAGTTTTTCATGTCGCTTTATTATCTGTAATATATGAAAATAAAGTAAAATGAAGAAGTGTGAGATCAAGGCGAAAGAAAAATAAAACCGACGCTTTCCTTTTTAAAGTACAGTAGAGCTGATTTTTCGTCATAATCCTTTTATTTCATTGCCAATAGAATAAATTTAACATTCTTATTTATTAGTTATTATTCTTTCCTGTTCCAGAGAGATACTGAGTAGTAAAACAGCGCGTCTGAGGGATCTCAAGATACGCTTTTCTAAACAAAAACCCCAAATTTTGATTCAATCTAATTTTGATGTTTCATTTCTACTTTATTTTATTTTCTGCATGTTTCACTAATCTCTCCCATAAAAAAGATTTTTTGAAGAAATGATTTTTACTTTATTATGTCTTTTACCCATTTGAACACACTTAGCTCTGTCTATCACGACTCGAAGCGAAAGCCGGAAAGCCATGGTGGTCAAGAAGTGTTTATCTAGCAAGAAAGTATGATTTGTTAAACGCTAATCACCAATATTTAGACCTACATATCTCAAAAACTAAAAGTGTACTTTTTCTGGAAAGTACATCAGTATATAGTACCGTTCGTGCACTTCAAATTCATATAAGCAGTGAAAACGGATCCTCTCTAGTTAATTTAAGGAAGTGTCTATATACACTTTTGTGTACATAGGCAAACGGCTATATACATACGGGTAGGTACAACCATCTTATTAGTAGATATAAAGTTATACTATTATTTGATATGTATTTCTTTATTAGTATAAATTAAATATTTTATCTTTTTAATAATTTTATTTTATCAATTCTTTATTACATACTAATCAAGCATAAATTAAGTAGTACAAGTACAAAATTATAGACAAAAATTAAGTTAAATAAAGATCAATTAATTCAAAAGCATTTCTAGTACTTCCTCTTTTGGACTTCGAAGGAAATGGTTGAATTTCATTAGTTTCAATGGAATAAATGAAAACCATCTCGTGTCAGTGTTTTTCTTTTCTCTTGATTGTATCATTTTTTCGGTTGATGAACTAACTATAGAATGAAAAATTTGATTTTTTTCTTGCTTAATCAGCTCAAAAAATGGAACATTTCAAAACATGAAAATTCTAATAGCTTGCAACCTGAGAACATAACCTTCATTAAGATAAAATGGTTAATCCTTACTTCATAAATGGCATCATGTCATTTTTACGTTCATTTCCTGTTCCACATCAACCCTCGCGTGGGCAATATGTTCCAGTATTAAAAAGATTATACGAAACAAGTCCCCAGAAAGGTTTGAATCCGAATGATCGTGTGTGTGTTGTAACAGCATTTTGATATTATATTGATTCGTAAAAAACTGATATAGAAGAGCAAGTCATTTATTTGCCAAATCTTCGTTTTATTCTTACATCAGCTGAAGAATTGTACTATATTGATCAAACAAAATATAAAGATTTAATTACTAAAATAATGAATTGAAACAATTGTGCTTTTGTCATACATTATTTGAAAACTATCTAGATGAGTATAAAACTCCGTCATTAGCGAGTGGTTTACTATTGAAAACAGAATTGGAGAATGTTTGTAAAGGACCGCTAATTAAAACGCACTTTTCAGACTTGAGACCCATCTCAGAAATATTACATTTACGATTTATTGATGATTGGATAATAAATAATTCTCCCAATACATCGCCATTAACTGATACAATCTATGCGAGGGAATTTTATTGTACTATTAGTCGCATTGTACAACATTTCTTTAGTCTCCAAGTGGCGGAACAAAATATTAAAAAATTAATTCAATTTCTTAATGAACTGGAAATATATACCACAGCAGAATTGATTAAAGCATTGGTATTTAATAAAAATTCAATATTCATCTCACTTGAAAAATATATCGAATAATGAATGTGTGAGTTATTTGTTATGTATTTATGATAATTAACCAACGAGGAGAGGTGAACATGTGCCTAAAGAATTAAGCAAAATAATTCAAAAACAATGTTATACTATTTTTCTCGATGATCTTCAGACCAATCAATCACTAGAGCTATTCGATGTTATTTGTTATATAAAACTCAGCGATACTCAACGGCCATACAGTTTTATACCGTATCGAACTTGATATGAAAATATCCTTAGGTGCTACTAATATAGCATCAAATGTATCATTTACGTTTGTTCCCATCACAGGTATGTATTTTAAATTTTGTAATTTTGTTTTATTTTGCTCATCAATCTCCAGAAGTGCGCGACACCAGTCTTGACATAGACTCAATAAAATCGAATAATTCTCGTCAGAAATTCCATTAAGGGTCCCCCCCCTCCCCCCGGGACAAAAAAAGCAATTTTCGTCAAAAATATCATTTTGGAGATTTATACATAGTTAGATAGCCCATCATCTGTACTTTCGAATGCACTATGACTTATTGGTTTTATGAGGGTTTTTCATGGTTTTTCAGA